TTAAAACCATCTTGTTATAGTTTCGCTAGCTAGCTTGGTGCAGCCTCCGGTATAGACAATAGCTTTAACCGGCGAGGCAGACCGCACTTGGGTACCTATAGAGGAAGCTGAGTGATGTCGGATCTATAATTTAGATAGTATTAATGTATTATATTAGCTTTGGTCTAATAAAGATACTGGCGAGGCTGCCAATAATGAAAAAAAAAAAATTTAAATGCTTTATAGCTAATAAATTCTACAATATGATGAAAGTATTTCTCTTTGTTATAGAAAGAATTATTATTAAACATCATAAAATTTCAATTGAAAAAAATATCACAAAAAGATATGATTCTGTATTAATATTTATTATCACTAGAACAAAATATATTTGTTTAGTTGAAAAAAATATTTTTTAGAATCAGATCTTGTAGAGTTTAAGGTAAATCTATTAATATTTAATATTATAATTTATTTATTTAATGGTTGTATATTAATAATATTAATTAAAATTATTTTACTATATTATAGGATTTAATTATAAGTTGAGCAAAATTATTTGTTAAACTTTTTAAGAGTTATTCTCTATCAGATCTTTGACTACGTAAATTGTATAATTGATATTATTATACTATTGAAGCAATTAAAGAATTTGGAGCTATTAATAGATTTACAACAGAGATTTATGAAACTTTGCACAAGAACTTTGTAAAAAAGCCATATAGGGATCGTCCAACTAAAAGGGGTTTATAGCATTTTTTGCAAAAATGAGTTAGTTATACTATCGTATAAATTAGGTATTCTTCTATATAATTTGATATTTAAAATATCAATTTACATAATAAAATTTGTCTCAATACCCACTTTTTAAATGTCCATATACAATTAGATATGATCTAAAATTAGAATTTAGAAATCTAGTTGTTGATCTTTGCTGCAGAGTCATAGAGAAGGATTCATATAATTAGCTAATTTATATTAATCTAACAGGTTATACTAATAATAGATCGTCATTATTATTGTTATACCAAATTTGAAATGTGATTTTCTCAAAATAGAAAAAAAGAATAAGCCCCTTTTAGTTGGACGGTCCCCATATAGTAATAAGCATAATACTACTAAACAAATAATTCAAATAGTTAGTATACTTATTATTTATCTTAATTCTATTTATAGTTAAATTTTGTTAATATTATTATTATATATTATAATAATATAGGTATATTGTAATTTGATTTTTACTTATTTATCTCAATACAAAAAAGTTGTATACTCTACAAAATGAATATTTAAAAACTTTTCAATGAATAGACTTCTAGAAGAATTCTCATTAGAAATAGCTGATGAATTTTTTTTTTCATATATATCAAAAAATAAACTAGCTTCTAAGGTTTTATTGGCTTTTGAATATTTTTTTATCATTAAATAAATTCTTTAACTTGTATAAGGATTTAACTAAAGATATAATAACAGGTAATACTATTATTAAATAGTATAGTTATACTAATATAGTAGCTAGTAAAGACTATATTAGAGCAACAAGCAATTATTATAATGAACCATCATTTAGTAATATATCAATTAGTATAGATAAAAGTAAAGAATTTAGAACTGCTAATGGAACTTGTTTTTGCAAGATTTGCTAATAATATATTTTTTTTGTTATTTTAGAATTTTTTATTATATATTTATAATATTTATTTATTTCAGATTTTAATATTGATTATTGTTATTATTGAAAATTACTCTATATCATTTAATCTTGCACTTGTGCAATAGTATGATTTTTAATACAAAAATAATAATTGCTTATATAAATATGGTTGTTCACTGATAAAGCTTTTAGATACTTATGATTTTATATCTACAGAATTTATTATTGAGTTAGTACAAATTATTAAATATAAAGAAAGAGAAAATGAATACTTTGTTAATATGTATATATTTTAATATTTTTAATCAATAATATAAATAGAAGTTATTTGATCTTTGAAGAATATTTATGTTTAGAAATTACAATTAAATTATTGACTAGACTAATTGCTATATATTTCTATAGTATAATTTATAGAGAACTTTTTGTTAGAGAATAAAAATATCGATTAGAAAAATAAAAAATATGTTAAAGATAATTTTATTTATTCTATAATACAAGTAATAGATCTAATAATACAACCAAGAAATAAAAAAGCTATTTAACTACTACAAGAATTTATAAAATTAGTACAGAGTTTTTTACATCATTGATAAATAAAGATGGATTTTGACATATCTAATTTATTAAATTAACAGAACATATTGGCTAATTTCTAAGTGAAAAATTTATTAACTTTATAATTATTAAATTAGAGAATATACTTGAGTAGATATTTCTATTATATAGTTATAATAAATTACTTGGTTAAACCAGGTAATTTAATAGTACTTGAGTAGAAAATTTCTTAGCAGATATATTAAGTACAAATAAAATACTTTAATATAAACTTATATTAATTTATAATATTAATTAATATAAAATGATATTAAATTACAAAATAATTAAGAGGTAGTTCGCAGCTAAAAGGTAGAAATTTCATAGTAAAAATCAGCAGAATCACTTATAGAATTTTAATAGTAGTAGAATAGCAAAAGATTTTCACAAAGAATATTATATAAACTTTTTTTTTACTAAGTAAGTCTCTTTTTGACTACTAATTAAAGTTGTAGAGGAAGTTCGTGCAGTTTTAATAGTAGTAAGATTGCTAAATTTGATCTGGTGAATTATGAGATATCAATGATTTGCATTTCGTGATCATATGAAATTTTCTTTGCAGATCTGCAAAGAAATTTCATATGATTACAAAATGTAAATCATTGATATCTCATGATTTACCAGACCAAATTTAGCAATCTTACTATTATTAAAACTATATGAATTTCCTTTACAACTTTAATTAGTAGTCAAAGAAAGACTTATTTAGTAAAAAAAGAAGTTTATATAGTACTTTTTGTGAAATCTTTGGCTATTCCTACTACTATTAAAATTCTATATATAATACCTGCCGATTTTTACTATGATGCTTATATGATGCTTATACTCTTTAATGACGAATCACCTCTTAAACAACTTTTATTGTAAAAGGGTATATTAACTATAAGTATGAAATAATTATATTAAACAATATAAGGTGATACAAAAAAAATAAATTAGTTTTAATACATCAAAAAAATTTTTAGACCCGGCCACCCAGGTTTTTTTATATATATAAATTTTTTTATATGAGTAATAGTCAAATTGGTCTCATAAGATCAGAAAACATAACCTATTCAAACTAAAATTAAGTGTATCTGACCTTTTGATGCACGTATAAACAATGATTGCTTACTAAATTTAAAAAAAGGTAGCTGCATAATGCTGTCACACAAAACTAGAAATATAAATTTATGAGTATGTCAGAATTGTTTATACAGCATAGGTGGCTTTTTCAAACTGATTTTAATAACTGATAAAAAATAACAGATTAAATTTATAAGATGCTAGTGTGTTAGGTAATTTATACTCATCACATATGACGAATATAAATAAGTCTTTTAGGTGCATTAGAAGAAAAATATAGAATATAGTAGTATTAGTTATATTTCACTTAAATATTAGCATCTTCAATTCTATAATTATAAGGGTCTTTGGCATAACTAAGAAAAAAAAACAGATTTAGAACCCAATACTATTGTCAATGTCTCTCGATAGTTATCTAACATCAGAATTATTGAAACTATAAGGCAGTGTAGACTAACCGAAAGTACTTAGCAAGTCTAAATACTTCTTTTAATGATCCTGAAATGGTGTATTAATGATTAATATTAGAAACCAAATTTTGAGTCTTTCAATATAATTTACTTTTCCAAATACTAGAATTGCTAATAGATTGTCCAATTTCTAATTGCTCCAAATCTGTTTGGATTGTTTTCAAATTGTTGTATATTTAACGTCTTTTTAAAACAACCGCAACTTGGGTTGGGTTCAACCTTTGAAGTAGCTTCAAAGTATACTGCATTAACAACCTTACCATATCTGATGTATTCTTTATACCATCTTACTATCGTAGTGTAACTTAAAATAAACTATGATATGAATAAAGATGCTGGTGAAATCAATTTTACCAAATTTCACCAATTTAATATTGATTTCACCAATAGTAATGAGCTTATTTTATCGTTCTAGTTGATTTTACCAGTATCTTTAGATATAAACTAGGGTTCTGCATACCTAGAACATGCTTCATGCTAGCATTTTTGCTTCTAGCACTTTGTGCTTGTAACTATTTTCACTTTGTACCATAAAGTTTTTGTTAGCACTTTTGTGCCCACAGGCACCTATAGGCATGAATTTCCTAACATCATAATGGTTTATATCTTTGTGGGCATGGCACAAAAGTGCTGGCCTAAATTGTCTAGTGCTATTGTACCTATAAGAATTAGCACGGTATGAGGCACTGGCACCCTATATGCCAGCACGGACCCAATATAGTTCATTCAATTACAAATCAAATATGATGATTAGTAGATAAATTTTCTAGTAAAATAGTCTTGCTGCGGTTTGCAAAATTATGTGAAATTTAAAGATCATTAAAAAAAAGTAATCACTAGTTTCTGATTGCTAATTTCCAATTTCTTTAACATTTTTTTTTGATTTTTATACTATACAAAATTTGCATATTTATCATTTGTAAAAATTTAATTGAGTATTTTAGTGCGCAACTCCTATTTCTGCAAATATATAACAAAATCATGAATATGCAACTTTTATTTCAATAAAAAATAATAAAATTTTTACAAAATAACAAATATACAAGTTTTGTCTAATCTAAAAGTTAAAAAAAATATTAAAAAAATTGAAAATCAGCAGTGATTACTTTTTTTAGTGATCTTTAAATTTTGCAAACCATAATAAATAAGATTTTGATGCAACGTAACTCTCTTTACTATTATTATTGTTCTTAGAAAAAGTTAATACTGCAATTAATTTACTAGTATGAAAGATTATGATCGCTAGATCTAGTTGTCCGAATTTAGAAAGTATATATGTTAGTAATGATGATATAGATAACGAAGAGGATATAGATGAAGAATTGGACATAAATAATGAAGAAAAGGATATAAATAAGAATGTTAATGATAAAAAAAATATAAATAAGGATATTAGTAATGGAAGGTCTAATGAATCCAAAGTTAGATCAGAAGAAATTTTTACAGAAGATCCTCTCTATAAGCTTTTTCAAAAAGTTTTTGTAAACGATTCCTGCAATTGTGCGCCACCAATCAAAAAACCTTACTACTTAGCTAGCATATTTCCTATTGTGTGTTTTTTATGTAGCAGTAGTAATATGACAAACTCAAATAATAAGTGTCCTTTGTGCATTGGATGTAGTGGAAAAGCTTTACCAAAAAAGCATTATAAATAGCATCCAAAGTTAATAAAAGAATAAACAATACAGAGCTGTGTAATATATAAATTACTTATCATTATAGCTTTTATTTTATTAATATCTTTATGAGTATACTAAATAGCTTTGTTATACATCGTATAAGTTTAATTTTTTAATTTTTTGTGTTATTATAATTACATGATTTGATTGGCTAAATAGCTTTCGTTAATATAGTAAAGTCCAATTTTCTGTTATTATAATTATGTGATTTGATTGGCTATCTATTTACTGCAGCATAAAAAAAATTTTGGGTTTTGAAATTTTCTGACCCGGCCAAATATGAAAACCAATTTATTTTTTTTGTATCATCTAATATATATTGTTAAATTACAGAAATAATTAAACAACTTCTATTCTAAAAGTATATACTAACTATAAGTATTAAATAATTATATTAAACAATATAATATATATTGTTAAACAATAAATTAGTATTAAGGGTGTGATGACTTAGTGAAGTGGTTAAGTTGTCGCACCTTAAGTATCAAGGTCTAGAGTTCAATTTCTACCGGTAATAATATTTGAAAACTATATCTTGAATATCCTTCCATAAAAAGAATATACGAACTTAATTGGTGCTGGTCTCTGACTA